TACATAGAAAATAAACTGTGACAACGACAGAGGGCGGCTCTAACACGACTGGAAATCGTAAATATAACACCATGGTTGTTATCGGGTCCATGCGGACCCACACTCCATCTTTTTGTATGTAAGACTTATTGACGAGCTAGTATGCATGGATAGAAGATTGACGGTTAGGAAAGAGAGCAGCTCGAAAGAGATGAATACTGCCGAGTAAGAAACAAAAAACTGCAAAGTGGTCCAACTTGGCTCTCAAACGGCTGTCAAGGGTTGACACAGCATCTTGAAAATACGATAAATGACTAACGGCAGTATAATAGTAGTAAAAAAAAAAAGAGAGTACTTAAGAGCATTAGAGTTTGAAGCTGGCACGGAAATAGTGACAATTTACATTTTAAATATTTTACTTGATTTCGCCAATAGGGCAGATACAAGGGTAGAATATACCTTAACTGATATTTCTAATAGGTTTTTTATCACTGCATAACAAATGCTTGCTAGATTAATAGAACAGAACGATAAGAAGAAACTTTTGAATATCAATTATCAAATATTCGATTTGGAACAAAATGCATTACATCCTTCTTTGATTAACAACCAACAACAGACGTTAAAACCTGAATCATTCGACATTCTATTTGTTGCAAACCCTATGCATACAACGTCAAACATAGTAGTTTCTCTAGCAAATATTCGAATATTGCTTGCACCTGGCGGGTTCATTGTTTTAGTTGAAAGTTTACCGTTACCATATTTCGACTTGGTATTCGGGTTGCTTCCAGAATGGTGAAAATTTAGTTCAGATGATCCATGTCGTCAGAGATCTATACGTAGCGTAATTACAGGTGAAGAATGGATTTATGCTTTTAGTCTTGCTGGTGGTTTTTATCAACTTGACTTTGTTACAACAGAGTCTGGTCAGACAACAATTATTGCCCGAAAGTCGACATCACCTATAGTTTCACCCACTCTTCCAGAAAAACAACAATCCTGGATAATTTTCTGTGATAACAAGCAAAAACTTGGTAACAAAATTGCCGATTGATTAAAAAATAAGCTTAATAAGAACACCATAACTCTTGTGTGATTTTCTGATGGAAAGAACAACAATCATAATTATAATTCAACTAGTTCATTCAAGCACAATACGATTAACAGTAATTCTATCTCTAATGGTATAGAAAATATTTTTCAAGATAGTATCATTTCAAAGAATTTTCTTCTCACCTAGTATTTGCCCGGTCACTCGATTTAGAAAAATTTGATGATAATAATGAAAATCTTCTTACTTTTGAATGCCAACCAGAAATCATATGTGGCACTTTAATACATCTTGTAAAATCAAATCAATTTTCGTGCACACAAAGCAAGTTCAAATAAGCAACCCACGAATCAAAACAATTATTCCAAACCGTGACTACAACTCTGTTTATATCAAATTAAAAGTACCGCAATTTCGATTCATACCTGATCTCAAATGAATAAAATTCATTTCAAATTCATCCTTTTCACTTGCTCCCACAGAAGTTGAAATTAAAATTCATAGTGTTGCTATCAATTATAGTGATATTTTGAAAGCACGTGGTTTGTATCCTCTTAGTCTAGTGACTGGAATTGATTACGAGCAAGAAAATAGAAAGACTCGGGACGAAGAAATTGGTTCGGATTTCTCTGCTGTTATCATGCGTCTTCGTTCCAAAGTGACTAATTCTCTAAAAATAGGTGCCCGAGTTTTTAGACGATCATTCAGAGTTGAAGCCTTCAAATCCCATAGTGTTGTAGATCAATAAAGCGTTGTTTCTGCAGCTTCAAATCTTACTATGGAAGAGCTGGCTACTTTACCAAGCGCATTTTCAGTAGGAATACATGGCCTTCGTGATCGTGCTCATTTACAAGATTCTGAATGTTATTTAAACTAGCTAAACATGAGTATTTTGTCGATAAAGTCTATAACCCATTCCAAATGTGACTGAATATTGGCGCAGAAAACAAATATCTGACTAAGGTGTTCAACATCATAAATCTGTGGAACGATTTCTTTGCCAAAAGTACCGGATGTAATTAAGAATATTCTGTTGTCTGAATGTTCGTTCACGCATTGAACGTAGTCTTTCATATTAGTAAATGTGTTTAACTTAATTTTTCGTTTGAGAGGCATATTTTACAACCTTCTAGTTTTTGATATGCATCTTACATTGAATTGATTGTAACATAGTTTTATAAAGAATTGTTTGAAGATATAATTCCATACAAAGAAAGTTTATAAACGATATCTCTGGCCATTATTTAATTACTAATTAGTTCTGGTTAGCACTAATTAGTGGCAGTCCAGTGGACAAAGTAAATTTTCTTAATGTCAGAAAAGGTTGAAGCAAATCATGTGATATATCACTCGATAGAACTTTGCGAACCCTATCAATTGTTAGAGCCACTTCTTTTCATTTTTGCGTTTTAGGTCTGAAAAATCCGTCTATAAGGAACAGTTTCGTCTAGCTACTCATGGAAAAAAATGAATTTATTTATGCTGCTAGTTAGCCGATTCGGCGATGTCTTGGCTATCGAATGACGAAAATCGCAACTCTCTAGCTAGTGTCAATCAAAAGTTATTTAAAATATATCTCACTAATGAACGGAGGAAGGTCAGTTTATGTATGAAAATTTAAGCAGTAAAACGAAATCGAAATCAGTCAATGGCATTTTATAGGCGCCTAAAATACTTGTGTTTTCATACGAGATTTTTCGTTTTCTGTGGACATTTATGATCATGTAGTATACAAGATTCTGAATGTTATTTAAACTAGCTAAACATGAGTGTTTTGTCGATAAAGTCTATAGCCCATTCCAAATGTGACTGAATATTGCAACTATTTATAATTTTCATCACACTTACTAATAGTTTTTGCTTATTTTATTATTCATCAGGGTTAATATAAATGAATTTCGCGCATCAGTTTGTCACGTACATCGGCATCAAACAGAACCACAGATTAACAACTGAAAATTGACATGACTTCAGCACATTCCTACCATTTAATTATTTGGTTAGACAAAGATATCGAATGTGCTCTGCTTGGGAAGTTGCAGCAGATCTCATCTCAGTTAAAGACATTTACTAATATGGAAGACTGCGTTCAATGCGTGAACGAACATTCAGACAACAGAATATTCTTAATTACATCCGGTACTTTTGGCAAAGAAATCGTTCCACAGATTTATGATGTTGAACACCTTGGTCAGATATTTGTTTTCTGCGCCAATATTCAGTCACATTTGGAATGGGCTATAGACTTTATCGACAAAACACTCTTGTTTGAACATGAACAAGATCTGATAGAAAGATTGGCAAATGAACTTGCACATTATTTACAAGAAGAGGTCAAAGCATGTACTGGTGATCAAGCACAAATGTCAGAGACAGCGGCTTTGTGTTCAGTACAAACGAATGAACCAAGTATATTGCCATTCTTTCATATATTTCATGAAAGTGTCATGGTGTTCTAAAGTTATAGAGTTTGACGAAGTCATGTTCTTTAATTACAATGCGTCTATAGAATCATCCACACCAAACCAAATTACCACAGATTTAAGTGCTCGCTGTTCTTTTGGAAAATGTATACCATTATCGGAGTTTAATTTAAATTCTAATGATGAGGGCTTCGTAAATGGTATGTTTTAAATTTTAATAGAAAAGTGTTACTTCTGTATAGTCATGGTTTCAGTTTAGATTTAGGAGAGTATGAAGCACTGGACGCAGAACGCACCATAAATGGTATGTACATGTATCAGACAAAATTGTAACCATTATGTTTATTCTTAGAAAATTTCCAAGTTTTTTTTGTCTAAGAAGTCTAGCAAGTTAGCTATTTTAAATAACATTGAAAATCTTGCATACTACATGATCATAAATGTCCACAGAAAAAGAAAAAACTCCTATGAAAACACAAGTATTTTAGGCGCCTATAAAATGCCATTGATTGATTTCGATTTCGTTTTACTGCTTTAATTTTCATACATAAATTTTAATATGTCAATGAATTACCTAGACTTTCTTTCGACTGAATTTCAGTTTTGCCCAGGATATATATATTTGCAGATAAGAGTGGATGACTATGTTGAATTTTGCTCCTTTTATAGTAGGCATGCACCGCGACGAGAAGTCTCGAGTAGCTCGGGTCTCGAATAGTCTCGAGTCTCGATATGACTGAAATTTTTTTGTAGCTACCCTTATTACTTGTATAGATCTTCTCATTAGCTGAGAAAATTGAGCAACCTGTTGTGTTGCAGATATTTTTCTGGTTTCAATAAGATGGGTGCTGTGTATGTCATTTTACATATAGCTGTGAACTGGACTAAAGCTGAATACGCTGAAGATAACACCGTAAGATCTAACTTTTATAGCTTTCTTAAAGATATTCTCTTCTCTATAAAATCGATATTTCAGAAAATCGAATGCATTTTCTATACAATATAAAATCTGTGATTTTTATTTACTGTAAAGTACTCAACAATTGCATACTAGTCCAAATAGTTACGACGATAGTGATATGCTCTATCATTTCATTTTAACTAAATTATTCTGAGGAAATTAAAATAATTAACGCTTAGTTAGATAACTTTATATGCTGCATGAAGCTTTCACTTCTAGTAACTAAAAAGTATCAAAAAAGTTACCATACAAAATATCTACTTCAAATAATGTCTTTCGGCATTACCTCCATTACATAATCACCAGAGAATCTTCTATACAGAATAAAAAAAATAGTCTCGAGACGTCTCGGGTCTCGAAAAGTCTCGATACCGGCACTTTTATATCGAGACTTTCGAGACTCGAGACTATTCGAGACTAAAGTTTCGAGACTCGAGACTACTCCAGACTAAAGCTTCGTGTATCGGGTACCCCGTCTCGGTGCATCTCTATTTTATAGATCCAGCAGACGAACAAGAGTCCCTACATTCAGAACGTAAGGTTCGAATAAACAAAAGTACATATCAAAGACTATTATTTTCATATTTAGGCGTCGATGATCAGTTCAATCGAAACTTATTAGCATCTGATCAAATTTCTATTCTACTTTCCAGTACTGTCAATGGTGAGAAGAGCCTTTTTACATCCAATAAACTATTTCATAGCTCCATTTACATTCTATCTATTTAGAAGTCGAGCATGAAAGATTTTTGGCAGATTCGGCATTCATCATGCAAGACATTCTTGAACTAACTGGTAACTAGTGAACACATTAAACAATATGCAACTTTACGAGCACAAGATATTAAACTGCTTCCTGTTAAATAAGAATGTTGTAAATATTTGCTGCAATCATTACTGTGCAAGACCATACATTCCAAGGCCTACCAAACGGGAGACCAGGAAAGCACATTCCGGCTTTCTGCCGTAACGAAAACAATTACAAGACTTTCTCTGATGAATTATTAAATTTTACTTTTTCATAATAGTTTAAAATTGCGGGCTAATCCCTACTTTTGTAATGTATCATTTTCAGTAGTCAGGACCAAATGTGGTCAAACCACACTTTAACATAGAGAGTATATTAATAATAAAGCCTTATTTAATTCAAAAAAAAAACTAACTGGTAATTCGCTTTATGTCGTAAAGTTTTTGTCATCAAGTCATCAATTCTAAACTGTTTTCCATGCATGAGGTATGACTTTTATTACTAGCTCTCTATTTGATGAATCCATAGTATAGGATTGTGGTATCATTCATTCATTGTGAGTAAACTATAATTGGAAAATTGAAGTTATTCAGAGTTGATAGCAAAAAAATAACTATACGATGTTCTAGTTTTTATGTTATGATCTCGTTGTCGTGTAATGAGTCAGCTGTTGTTTTGGTAACAAAGAGAAATTGTTTTATATTGTTATTTGATATGAGAAAAAACTCTTAGCAAAAAACAATCACTCAGACAAAATAAACACTAAATCTAAAGTGGTCTATTATGTAAAATGTTGGATTTTAGTCTATACTGTTCCTTTTCTTTCTTTTTTGGAGCATATATATACAGCACACGACTAGCAATTCATATTCGAAGTATAGAAATAATCTTTTTTGTTAATGATGAAACTGAGACAGAAAATCTTGTACGCGAGAATAGACAAACAAAAAAACGTTATCTCCTATTTTCATCAGAAGTCAACACTGTGTCCAATGGTGATTCATCCATATTACTTAAAACTTCAGTTATTTTTAAACGTCGCAATGATTTAGCTGATGGTAATGGAGATGATAATAACGCTGTTGTTTGTTGATTAGTGACTAATGTAGTTTTAGTTGTACTTGTCAAATGCTCACTTAACCAATTTAATAGAGCATTCGCTGTTTTATTATCAATTTGAGATTGTTGTTGACTATTCATTGATGTATTTGGTAAAAGTTTTGCTAATAATTCTTCGCATAATTTATATAATAGTTTTGTTTGAACAGCATCTGAAATATTTTTTATGGTCTCGTTGCCCAATAGTTTCGAATGTTTATCATCACCAGTTAGTTCTAAATTTGTTTGCAGTAAATTGATTATTGTAGTCGTTAGAGAGTAAAAATACGATGGATAATTTGCTATCGTAGTTGTTAATACTGCCGATGTGCTTATATCGTTCGTGTTATTTGTAGACCATGAATAATCAGTAAAATTTAAAGCAGTATTATTTTCAAGATAAGATTCACTCAATGGCAATTGTGGGGTGGTTATTGAAGAAACATTGAATGAAAAAGGCATGGAAGTAGACATTGAATTATTATTGTCATAATTATTTATAGTTATATCGATTGGTGAACTAGTGGATGATATTAATTCAATGGTATGATTTTTAGATTTAGTCGAATAATTATCTAGTGTAACTGGCGTTGTTGTCGATTTTCGACGACCTTTTTTAGAATTAAAATATTTAAACCATAGCGAATCTGCCGAATTCTTACTTTTTCGATCAGTTAATAATGATGTAAAATCAAATAATAGCGTTGCATACATATTAGGATTTAACAGATTGATCGTAGAAGTAGGCGTGTTAATTGTTGAAGTGAACTCGTTTTGTACTGTTGTTGACTTATCCACGAAAGAAAATAAATTATCGTCTGAAATTTGATCACGTGACAATGTTATACTAGAATTGAAAATGCTGTTTTCTTGACCAGATGTTGCCGTTGTAACATCAATAGTTATGGCATTCATATCGTCTTTGTTATTTGTTTCAGTTATCATTGTTAAATTATCATAAGAATTTATTGATTCTTTACCACTATCCTCTCCAAGATTAATGTTATATCTTGACAAACCTATTGTATTCTCTAATGATCTAACAGTCGTTGTCAACGTAAATGATGATGATAAATCATTGACTATTGTAGAAGAATTAGAGTCAGTTACGTTTATATTGATTGAATCGTTTGATAATGATTCGGATGTTAATGATTTCGAACTGATTGTTGAAGATTGTTGACTGTATGTAGTCATTTTAGGAAAAATAGCTTCTAATTGAATACCACTAGCAGGAATAACGAGAACATTGGTATCAGAACTTTTTGACGTTGGAAGAAATGTTGTCACTGATTTTTTATCTGAATCAATATTTATTTGTTTTTGACTGTTTTCATCCACTGTCGAATGATAAAATGGAAGATCATTTGAAAATGTTGTTGTGCTAGTTGTTGATGATGTGAAAAAATTATTGAATTCTATTGTTGCTCTATCACGTGTATTTTCATTTTTGTTCAATAGATTATCTATTGCCGTTTGAGTATGATCTGTCGTTAACAAACCGACAAAATCGATTTCATTTGATGATTTTGCTTGGAGTTTATTGGTATAATAGGCTTTTTGTAGCATATCGAATAACACTTTTGTATGCACCGGTATCAGAGCTATAATATAAATTATTGTTAATATAAGATATAATGATACCATTATTTTAAAGTATAAAAACTGAGAAATTGATGAACATAAAATATAGAGATGTATAATTATTAAACTACTACATCTGTTTATATAGAGCAAACAAAAATAAGTTTACCGTCTCAAAATAGAATAAAACAAATTATTTACTTACAAGACCATAATGCTCTATCTTGTTTTAGACGTTCTTCACAATTTTGTCCAACATAGTCAAAATAACATCGACATTCATATGACTGATGAGTTTCAACACAAAGTCCACGATTTCCGCAGGGATTTTGAAAACAAATTCCTAAATTACAAATATTGTTTCTTTATATTCATATAGGTATTATATTAACAGCTCACCAAGTGGTTTTTCGCAATTTGTTCCACTAAAATTTGCTTGACAAACGCAAATGTAAGTGAACGATGAACCATAACATAAACCCCCATTTCGACACGGCTGAGACCAGCATAAGTTACCTAATGAAAATATATATTTTTCTTTAATGAATATTAATAATAACTTGATGACACTTTTTTTGTCATCATACTCTTTCTCTTGAATAATGACAAAAGAGATTAAACCGCTGTCTTAAGAAATATTACTAAGAAACACATAATCAGCATGATCTATTCTTCTCTCAGTTATATTGAATGTTATAATTAATTTATTAAGACAAATTATCAATTTCAATCGATCTTATCGAAATTTCTGACTATCATAAAAAGAAAATTACCAACGGCATATATTTCTCATTTAGATTTATTACATACCTGTTGTTATTGCATCGGCAGAAATTTTAGATAAATTGAGAATTAGAATTAATGCAATAAATAATAATTTTAACAACAATATTAATTGTTTTAAAAATAAGCGCATTTCACATAGAGTGATGTGAGAAAAAGTACTTGTTACATTTATTTTGATATTTTCATTTTTGAACAAAATTGAATCATTTATTTATTTCAAATGTGTGAAAAAAAAAAGAAAGACAGGATATGTATAAATGTATACGTATGTAAGAAATGAGTACGTGATGTCCGTCAGTCAGCTTATAGTTAGGATTGTTAACATAATTGTTCAGTTTTCTTCTCATTTATTCTTTTGTGTTTAAAGATGATCAGGTAACTGACACGCTCAACCATACGTACACACACTTGTAGGAGGTCAACTATCATGTCACTAAATAAATAATTTATAAATTGTAAGTATTCAATACAAATAAAATAACAATAGGGCCTTCTTTATTTTTGATGAAAGAAGTTTACATAGAGATTTGTGTTAGGAAATATTACAGCGCTGATATTTGATCACAACGAAAAAAAGCAGTGTAAGTTTGTAATGAGTTGAAACAAAAAAAAAAAAAAAAAGCATCAAACATTCGACGATATAAGATATTACCTACTATTTTTCTAATTAGATCTATTCAGAACACATGCATAATGACGGATGTAATAAAAGAAATCAAAGAATGAGTATTTTGAGATAGAATTGGATGCATAGAAATAAATCCTATCGTGTTACTGTGAAATAGAAATGTTTAATTTCATCAGAAACACCCACTGACCATAAAAGAATGTTTAGTAATTAAAGTGAAACAACAACCAATCAGCCTTGACAGCAAACAATACCATACTGCTGTATTGTCAGATCATCACTTTATTGCACGAATATCTCGAATATGAACAAAAAAATTTGAGCAAAACGACTTTTAGCAAAAGAAAATGAGCAAAAAATTAGTTAAGCAAGAAGAGTTTGAGCAAAATTACTTTTAGAAAAAAAACTGATGAGCAAATGGAAGATGAGCAAAAAAAGTGAATAACAGATTATATTTGTATTATTTTTATAATAGAACTGTAGTCATTTTTCCCAGCAGTTGATAAGTATTGCTCGATGCGTCATCATTTAGTGAAAGATGAAATCCTTTTACGGAAGAAAACGATGCTGAAACAAAACTAGAGACTCAACCTTCCCAGTAGTATTAATGAGTTAGTATGAAATGATGAATAACTTGAAATTAAATCAATTCAAAAGCTGAAATGAATTTTTTGCTACCTATATCATTCGCCCTTCGTAAATCAACGAATGGGTAATACGCAACAATATGAAAATTGTCCTTTCTGTTTTTTCTCTTTTGTTCTTCCAATGTACTTTTCATTTTTGCTCAAAATAAAAATTGGCTCAAAGCAATTTTGCTTATTTTCTAGTTGCTCAAAACAACTTTGCTCATCTTACATTTGCTTAAACTTCTGTTGGTTAACTAATTTTTTGCTCATTTTCTTTTGCTAAAAGTCGTTTTGCTCATATTCGTAGTTACCCATTGCCCATAGTTCAACCAACTGATTACGATTTCTGATATTGTTTAACAACGTCTGACGCTTGCTGTACTCACACTCAGATAAATAATCTAGTTTTCAACGTTCCAATAATTGAAAATATTATTTTCTTATTACTTCATTTAATCAAAGTATTTTGTATGAAATCATTACTTCAGAAATAATAAAACATTATACATTCATTGTAGTCATCTTACTTTTAGTACGCAATTTAATAGTATTAAGAGAAGTGATTGGCATAGAATGAGTACCTTTTCAATTAAAACCGTTTTTATTTACCGATAACAATAACAACAAAAAAAATGATATCATGACTAGCTAGTACAACGAGAAAATATACATAAGTAGTTTACAGATGAAAATAGAAAAGTATGTTTTCTCGTTTCTAGCTTTTAATAAACATTGTTTTTATAAAACATAACAAATGAACGAATTAGGCTGAGCTATTAAAAAGAAAAACACGTTAGATAGTACCCAGCACCAATGTCGAAATTAGCAAGATATAAAAAAGAATTTTAAGCGAATTAGACGGCTAGCGCCATAAGTTTAAGAAAAATGACAAAAAAAAAATCCATTGTTGAATATCTGAAATAATCGATCTGACACACCCTAAATTTAAAGTTTTTATTGATAAATGTTAATCCCATGTTTCATTGATATTGTTTGCTGATCGTACTCTAAAAAAAGAACAACACATTACATTAGTTAATTACAAACACTAGCACGTTACTTGCTAACCAGATCGTGCACGCTTCAGAGAGAATGAGGACACAAACTTTTAAAAGAAACATTAATATATCTGTGAAAACAGTTATCTTTCTAAACAGTGTCCACATAAATCACACATTAAGTATGATGATTTGCCGTTCCTGCGTGAGCACGCAGTACGTGAAAAAACTGAAGATAGCACAAGATATTTACTCGTACATTTACTCGTTTTAAAAATAAGCAAGTATAAGTATCTTCATTACAGGGAATTCTTTATATAAAAAGTTTTCTGAACATTTTGACGCAAACTTCAAAGCAAAATTTAACACTGAGCTTTTAAAAAAAACGACTAAAGTTCCTGTAGAACAGCGTGCAGGTTCTTCTCTTTTTACGTACTTCATCTGAGATATTGTCGTTTCTTCTGCATCATCTACTGGTGGTTGTTTATTTTCATTTATTGCTGCTGGTTTATCAAACTGATGCAAATTTCTTCGCCAAGTTCTTAATATGCCATCAAAGCCACGACGAGAACATTTTTTATATTTATTTGGAGTTGTTGGCATATCGCGTCGACGTTGTTTTCTATAATAAACGAGAGTGATTGCCAATGGGATATGTGAAAAATAACTGGTCAGTGTGGACTCTTACGATCTAACGATGAAACTATGTTTAGAATGCAGAACAGCAATTGTGTTTCCGGTTCCCCTTGTTTTTCTCTTTAGTATCTCTCAGATTAAGTTTAAAAGTAGAAAAAAACTATTGTAGAGGAATTAGATTTTTAGTCAATTTTCGCGTAGAAAATTCTTATTGACATTTTTCACCACTGGAAAAATTTTGAGATAAAATCTGAAAAAAGTTTCTTGAGCATCCTCCCTAAGATTGTAGGAAAAGAACTGCATCTGTCTCCATTCAACATAGATTTTCAAAATAGATAAATGATATTTCGAAAAAAGTTGAGCGAGATCAGAAAGGGTTGAAACGAGTGGCACTCATTGAATTGAACACTCCCATTTGTAAACCTTTTTGTCAAAAGTAATATTTTTTTCTTTTGTCTGAACTAAAATCGATATATCTAAAACACTTCCATTAATGTGATTCTATACGTGTATCAAAATATAGAAAATTATTTTCACTTAGACTAGATGAAAGAGAAAAAATTAGTTTTTCAGCGATTCATCCTATTTTTTCATTAAGTATATTCATTTTTCTCTAAATTAATAGACAACAATGGAAGATTTCGTTGTAGGCCGAGAGCCTGAAATTACCCGCTTTTGAGCAATTATGAAACAGAAAGAAACAGCCCAAAAAAAGAAAGAATAATTTTACTTGATTGGATATTGTTCCATATAAAAGACATATGATTCGGATAATTTTCCTTTGATAATTTCTTTTGTACGATTACGTAATGTATGAGGATCACTTTCAATTTGAGCCATTATTTCTTCTTCAGTCATTTCAGAATATTTAGCGAAGGTTTTCAAATAGCGAATGTAACTAAACGAAAAAATTTTACACTGAGCAAACTGTAATAAAATTTGAAGTAATTGTTGCGAAGAAAGCATTCTGTTTTCTTTATGAGAATATCCTGTTAACTTGATCCTTAGGTGATATATGTTATGCACAGTCGACAAAATAGAGGTATCTCAAGAAAAATGATTGTTATGGATACATACTGCTAGCACATAAACTTATTGCACTTACTTAAATAAATATTCCAATTCGAGCTCTTCTATTTCAGCTATTGTCTTAGGATCGTCCGACAAATATCTGAATGATGCACGCGACATATGTCCTTGTCCACTCTTCTTACCCCTAAGTAAAAAAATAGACAGAATATCAAATGTACAAAAAAGAGGAAATAATTTACCTTGTTTCACTCATATCGGATTTCACTCTTGTTATTGGTCGTCGAGCATTTAAGGACGCACTTATACATTTTCTAATGATACGACTAGTTCTCTCATTTTTGTTTGGGATTGTTGTTGTTAGCTTGGCACTGTCGTTCGAATTTTCTTGCAAAGATGTTTTAAGAATAGTATCGACCTGTACACTAAGTTCATACAAAGAATCTTGTTGCGAGATAGGTGTTGATTCAGTTCTAGAACAAAAGACACAATGATAAAACTACTATAATAACAAAATCCACTTACTCCAATGGAGTCCAAGCGATCGTCGTTGTTGGAATACGCATTCTTAGTCCACAAACATTTGTAGAGGATACATTTTCTGTACTTTCTAATTTTTTGGGCTCCACCGAATCGATATTGACTTGTATTTTTACTTCATTGATTGTCGAACCATTTTGTATTGTCTTCTCTTCACTACCTTCTAATATTGGCATAAGTTTCGGTTCCCCCGTTGTCGATATATCAAGTTCAATACCACTTAATTTTCTAACTAGATTTGTCGATTGTTGATTTGATGGTGAACAAGTAAGAGGAACTTTTGAAGCACTAAAATGAACTGAATAAAATTGAAGAAATTATACATCGTAAATGGATGTTTCCTTACTCTGTCTTCTTTTTAGAAGAAAATGATTGAAATCTATTATTGTTAAAAGACGACATTTGTGTAAAATCAGCTGATGCAGATCTTGCTGCAAGATTTCGTTGTGAAATAGAAACAACACGCGAAGGTGAACTAAAAACAAAATAAATGATACAATGTATCAGGTAGAAAATGGGAAATCTTCAATAATACCGTGGTTTATTTAAAAAGCCATTTTTGTTATAATTTCGTGAAACATGTTCGACAAGTTGAATTTGCTGATCCTAAACAAGTAATCAATCATTAATAGCCTACAAAGACGATTAAAACATTAAAAACTCACTCGTGCTGCTTTTGCCACCCATAAATCAGCAGCAAACAATGTTTTTTGAACTTGAGCATCAAGTGAATAATCAGCACATAATAGCATAAGCTCTTTTATATTGTATAGCACCATTTCTAAAACAACAGCACCTACAAGGATCACTTAAAAAATAGTGGCCACCTACATGTATAAAACAATGATAGAAAACTTCAACTCAATGCCAAATAATGAAAGAAATTTTAGCAGAAGTCAAGCCATCATTCTTCTTTTTTGTATTGTCTGTCGCTTTCTATTTTTTTCTCTCTTTTACACAAAGATAAATCCAAAAAATTAACACCTTTCTCGTTTCTCGTACCAGCCACAAAGTCTAATCAACGGAAAATCTACAATACAAACCATACGCAAATGTCTTCTTTCTCAAAGAAAATGCCCCTCTTAACTCGAACAGGTCGTAAGACAGAAATAGAAACAGAACCCATTAAGTACATCTAGCGTTTTTCTAAGAATATAATCTATCACAACAAATAAAAGTTGTTACAAAACAAGAATAATAGATGTAAAATATATTCCAGTATCATACGGAAAAAGTCACCTGCTTAAGGCGTTGTTTCCTTTTAGCTTCAAAGAGTAGCTCCAAGGAGCCAGGATCACTGCAAAACTAGTTTCTCCTTGGAGCTGCTATTTGAAGCTAAGTGGAAACAACGTGCTTAAGGCGCAATCATGACTGTTGGACGATGGTAATAATCAAGGCGGACAAAGAACAACCAATCTGAGAAAGACGAAAGCTGTCGCTTCGATGCGATAGTTCTTAGACACATATAGGTATGGCTTTTTAACAATAATTGTTATAGAATTCAGAACATCAAAGAGAATCCTCTCATTGATCATAACCACATGCCAGTAATTCAATTACTGAGAATCTTTAAAATTTTATTTGCTGTTAATAAGTCAATCACCATCATGACATTATGTTAAGTTGCAGCAGCACCAAAACAGTCGGATGAAATTTGTGTTGGACTTTTCTGCATTCTGCTCGTTATCTACGAAAACAAACAGAGAAGTAGATTGTTAGTTTTTTATTCATTTTAATGGGTATACGCGTCAGATATATGATCCTCTAGACTATGTTCTGTAAAATTGTTAGTTGTGATTGTAAGGAACGATCAATTAACGAAAAAAACGAAAATTACTTTTTATTTTATAATGATGAAATTCGTAGTTTAATGATGTTTTGTTGTATAGCTATTTTTTTAGTGTTTTTTCGTCTTGGTTTTGCTGTAAAATATACCGAAATATACCGAAAACCTTTAAAAAATATTGCTTCATTGCTTCATTAGGATTTTTTTTTACGATACTAGTTTATAATATATTCCGCATTGGGTATAGAGACGCTCAAGAATGAACTACTGTCGTTTTCAAAATAAAATGCGGGTGGATAGATCGCTTATCACTTGAAGCGAAAGTGATAGAGACCTGCGGTTTTCACCATGCGAAAGCAGAGACATTGGGACATGTGTTCACGAGTGAAATAATTTTGAAAACGACAGTAGTTTGTGAGCTAACCGTCGTTAAGCCTGTCTGAGAAGGTGGGATGAATAATAGAAGTCTACAAGTGGTTTCATTGAGTCTTTCCTGTTTTTGACTTACTGTTCTTTATATTTTCGTGCTTTTCTTATGATTGAAAATAAGCAATAACATGTCAAAAATGTAGAACCGGCACCTTATCGTCACGTTGATCCGTAGATCTTTTTTAAGACGAAGGGTTTTTCAATACTTAAGACAATGAGTTCTTCCTCTTTTGAAGACTGCATTGAAATTCTATAGCCTTCTGGTCCTAATACAAATGAATGATGGATGATGTTCCTCATTTCTTCAAAATTTGCTGCTTCTCATCATCTACAAACTCTTCTATGTCTCTATTTTTGTGCAAAATATATATTTTAAAAAGCATATAATTTGTTCTAGATTAGAAATTTTAATTATTCATCGGATGACTGACGATTCTTCTCGAACGGTACGTTTAGAGATCAGAGGAAAATAAACGAGTCTGTAGTATGTTTTGAACAACCTTTAATATAAATATATGTCATTCCTGTGGGATTCTGATTATCACATGATCTATTTTGATCCTTTTTCGTAGGTTGATAACGGTAATGATGTCATACCTTCAACTTCAAATGAGAAAAAACGTCGTATGTTTTCGAAGGAACGTACGTATGATGATGGACAATTTTCACGTTACTTTTATATTCTTCATTGCTAATTTAGAATATTCGTTTACTCTTTAGTTCGCTGTATGATGTTTGGTTTCGGTGATGATATAAATCCTTATACGGAATCCGTTGATATATTAGAAGATCTTGTTTTGCAGTATATCACAGATATGGTATAGTTTTTTATATTCTTCACATCAACACTTTTGTTTATTTTGGTTTTTTCTAGACATTAAAAGCAATCGAAATAAGTAAACAAGGACGTATTCAGGTTGATGATATATTATATTTATTAAGACGTGATACTCGAAAATACACAAGAGTTAGAGAATTATTAATGATGAATGAAGAATTGAAAAAAGCTCGAAAAGCATTTGATACAGCCAAGGGTTTTGAATAATTTCGAGATGTAAATTTATTATTGGATAGGTATGAATAAATTGAACAGCGGCAAAAAGCAAACGAATGTTGGCCTGTTATGTTTCATGAAATGAAAGTTCTAGGTTTTTGTACAGGTTTTGTCGTAGAGTGAATATTTCTTTTGATCAAATTTCACTTTTAAATATCTTCTGTATTCAAGGGCTATTTTTGATGAATACTCTGATAATGAAGTACATGTTTTAGTAGATTAACACATGCTCTAATCAAAACATCTAAGAAGGTATTGAGGTTATACAAGTTGAGTTATCGTGATTGATTGAAAGCTTGATCAGTTAAACGTGACGTAGACAACGGGCTTTTCTCAACATCTTAATAATGATAAATTACTGCATGCACTCTAAAGACCGAGAAACTTTAGACTTCTGATTATAGCATGTTGTCACTCTCAAAAGATAGCCACTTTTCCTTTCTATGCGCTCTATGTAAACGAAATTCTCATTGTTTTGTTTCTGTAAACTGTTTTTTTTTTATCAAAGTTTTCAACATTAGAATTTAATTGTCCTTATTTCTCAATATTAGGCGAGTGTATTTCTATATGTTTGTTTTTTCTCACTTTCTTTTTGTCTTGTGGTGTATTAGCATATATATATCATTATGACTTTAGTTCATTTGTAGCTCTCCGTTTTGTATTTGTTATTTTACTTTTATTATTAACAACTTCTATGCATGATTTAATTAATAGTAAATGCTATGAAAAAAATTGTTATTATCTACCAACTATAACACGTGGAGCTAGTAGATGAAATATTAAAAAATTTCCTTGGAGTTCAACTAAAACCAGAGATGACTAAAAATATTTCTGTCGTATAATATTTACAGCAACGTTTTGTACATTTGTCAAAATATATTTACCGATCAATCAAAAATATTAGATTATTCATAATATTATTAATAAATAGCTAAACAAGCAGAATATAAAATGACACATCGAGAAATGATAAACAACGAAAAAATAGAACATTGAATAAACAGTAACTGATGAACAGATATTAGATCTCAAAGAAGAATATAGAAAATCCCGGGATAATAACACAGTTTCTTCATTTAACTGCTAATTCGATTAAATTTATTTTAAAAGATATGAAAATGATCTGATATCTTCTTTTAATTGATAGTGCTGTTGCGACTAGTAAGAATTATCATCATAATCTAGAATCCAAACACAATGGCGAAACCAGGATTTGTAGACTGCTGGGCCATGTTCCATAGAATCGACAAAAATCAGTGGGCCTAGGTGGGCGAACGCTGCCTGCTTGGGCAGGATATCTTTCCGACTGTTGCCGATTTTGATACCGTCATTTTCAGTGTTACTCGTTATCGTGACAATTTAAGATTTTTCAATATCATTTTTGAATGAAAAAATTAAAAATACTGATCTGAGTCTAGAAAGCTAATTTTGGAAATTTTAGAAGCTAAAATAGATTCAGAATCTGCGAAGCACGAGCAGGATGGTAAAGGAGCTGCCGGTCAATTTTACGAACCTATCTAGTCCTGCAATTTTGGAGATAAAATTCTTTCTTTTATTCATTTTGATCGCGATATTTGTGGAGAAAGATTAATTATCCTTTTTGGAAAATTTTGTTTTGTTGCTAAGAAATTCAATTTTTTCGAAATCATTGAAAAACCGATGAAATTGGACTCGTATTTTGCCGTTTCCTCTATTAAAAATCAACTTTTCGACACACATTTGAGGAATCAACGTTAAAATCTAAGTTGAAAAATACGTTTCGGACATTTTCGGGATTTTGAGTGAAAATGCTGAGATTTTTTTCAATTTTTGAGAAAATCGAGAAAACACGGACTACTTCAAAAATCCAGAAACACACATTTT